GTTAGTAGTTTATGACAATTTTTTTGATAACATTGAAAGAACCTTCTTTGACAGTGTTAGCCGACTAATTTGTAGAGTTGATACAATCTATTGTATGTCAACCTAAATTTGTAGTTTAATACTTTGAAGTATCGGAATTACAATAAATAATAAAAAAAATGTTTATTTGTTAATTTTACATGCTAAAAATGTTTCTCGAGCTAAGCAGCCTTGATTAAAAATACTCTTGCAAGCATTTTAGGCTTAATTAAAACAAAAATCTCAAAACGAAAATGAAAAGGTAACACTTTTCATTTCGTCAATTTGTGGTTAAAATTTCGAACAATTATCTGTCAAATTCAACTTTTCCTTCGAAAGTTTTGTGAATTAGAGTAGGCTTGGAGAATTTAATTGTCAAACTATTTTCGGACAAACGAATTTTCGAAATGAAAAGGAAACAGAGTAAGGAACGTGCGAATTTTCGACCGAAATTTCGTTTTTCGTTGAAATAGAGTAGACCTTCTGTACCTATTAAATATTCGCCCATATCTATAAATTTTACCTCTGTCACATCTGGCGCTAATTTGGTTTAAGTTCTTTAGCCCATTAATGATTTTATTTAAAAGGTGTCCCAGCAAACTTCGTATCCCTATAAAAAATACGGTTTGGTAGTAGAAGGGTGAAAATTTAGGGTTGTATGTATTTTTGTATCATATATCATAAAAAAATAAAAACAAGAAATTTTAAGGGGAAATTAATTAATTAATTTTAATTTTAAACCCTTAACATTTAGGGGCATAAAAAATAACTGTTGTTCGATTCTCAGACCTACTGAATATGCATATAAAAATTCACGAAAATCGGTCGAACTGTTTCGGAGTGGTTCAATTACGCACGGTGTGCGTGCGACACGAAATATAAGATGTAGGTATCTTATTAAGTAGGTTGTTATTTATGATATTAGTGCAGTAAGTTGGTTTTTACAAACGAAAAGACGAATGCAAACGCTTGTTTGTAAACACAAATTCCGTACGAATGTCATTCAATATTTTTTAAAACACATCCGAGAAAACAGTATTTATGTTATGAAACAAACTTATTTTTATATGAGAATGGCGCGCATTTGGAAATGAATACGCTTTATGAAAAGTCGGAATTCTATTCACTCAATATCTTATATTTCTGCCATTATTCCAACATCATCTTTGGTAATTATAATAGAAAAAATATCATAATTCAAAAAATATTTTTCTTAAAACATGATAAATATGAAACTACTTCGATGGAACATGACGCTGAACGATATCAGAACTTTTAAATAGTAGGTACCTAATTAGAAGAATGTAGGGATGTGTCTATATCTATTTTTTAATCTGATAGACATAAATGATATTACCTTTGTTGCCAGTTTATTGCAATTCTTAAATAGTGATGTCTACTATCGGGAATTAATGCTCATAAAATATTTAGTATTGATTTGTTATTTAAAAGAGTTTTAGTAAGCATTATCGGAACCTATTCCCAGTTATGAGAAAGTCTATGAGCCACAGTGACCGCTCGCCACCTAACGGCATGTCTGCCTGTATGTCGTTTCTTTAATATAAAATCAAAAAATAAAAACGGACTTGAAAATCCAAAATTTTCATTTAAAAATAAAAAAATATATTAAAACATGGAATAAATTTTAATTTTTAATCGGTATAAGTATGTTTTTTAATCTTGACCCCGCCCGACTTCAAATCGTACGATAACCCGCCCGATTTCGTGATTTCGTGAGAATCGGATATTTTTTTTCCTTTTTACTTCCATTTTCAATTTTCAAGTGAATTTTAATATATTATTTAAAAATATTTTTTGTTCAATCCATTTTACTGTCCAGCTATGTACACACAGGTACATAAAAACCCCTAAAAAAGCCATATACTGAGAATCATGATAATTACATCCTCCATGTCTAACAGAAATTCTCATAAAATGAAAACTACTGTCAAACTGAATTAAATTTTCTCGAAAAAAACAAGAAAAGAATTATCATTGTGGTGGGATTTTACCCCTTAAACAAGAATTACTTCTTTTAAATTAAAATTATTAAAGAACACAAATAACGTAATTTATGTATTAAAAAACAAAAAGAAAGTTTTTTCCAGAATTATCAAAACAAATCGTAAAGATGAGTTTACAGATCGTAAACTGCTTGCAATGTTATTCACAAACTGTCAACTATTGCAATAATGGCGGCTCTCTTCTTTTGATATGAATTTATGATTTAGTCTAGGAAATTTTCGAACATGCGGGCAAAATTTAAAGTCAATCGAACATTAAAAGTATGATTTGAAGGTGGGCATCTTAGGAACCGCACCATCTTGGGTACAATAGCTTATATAGGTATATATGTATAGCCGTAAATCATTCCTTCTTGCAGTGTGGCATCACTATGATAACTTAAAAAAAAATGGAATATTGTTCAAATAAAGGAGGAAAATAAAATGAAATATGCTTAAAAAGCGTCGACTTTTTTTTACTTTAGGACCTAACATACTACAAGTTTCGTAAATGCATTTTTTGAGCAGATGCGTTGAAAAATATATTCCTTAATCATCAAAAAAAATAAAGTATCTTTATCCAATTAAGTACCATTAAAAATATTTTAACTCATATACATATATCGGTAAACAATAAGTACTTTAAAAACAATTTTTATGTACGTAATATGTGTTTTACTATCATAACTATACAAAATTTTCACAAATTAAAATGAAATCAACACTAGTTTTATTCTTCTACATGAATTGATATTGGCTGTAGGTAATGGATGTGGAAATAACGGCATAGAAAATCGATATAAAGTAAACAATAGCACACGCCTAGGTTCTTATTTTACGTTAAACCAGGCACATCCTTTGTATGACCGCACTTTATGTAAGTATCAATCACACACTTTTGAGTCTAGGTATCCCAACTTTTCATAAAACATGCATTGTCATCATTATAATACTAAGGTTTTTGTCTATTTGACTACTTTTGAAGTAATCTTATTATAATCTAAGATATTATCTATGTTGTATCAAAATAGAGGCAAACATGCAAGGATAATGAGATTATAACTGCCCAAGAATGAAAAAAAAAGCTTTACTAAGTAGAAATTAATATTCGATAATTGATTTTACTACAACACAAGGTGCTCATACTAGTTGGAAATACATGTGATATAATCCCACACCATTAATATACACATATTTGGTCTGTCCGTGTATGTGTAATTCATCTCCCCCTAAACGGTTAGGTCGATTGTTTTGAAAATTTATACGTGCATAACGAGCATTCGTGTGGGTCCCCGGATCTTATAAGTATTAACATGGACAACGCAATCAGAAAGAGCGACATGGGATCTTACCATTAAAATCGTTTTGATATTTTTTGCGGGTGGGAATGTATGCACTAGTGCTGTTCTGCGCACCTAACATACTTACAAAAAAAACCTTTCCCTATAATTACGAAAACACAGAAACAATGATAAAATAAGTAAGTACACCAACTAATCTGGAAGATCACTGTATATTTTGTGTAAAGTTTTGTGTAGTTAAACACTAATTGGACATATACTCGTATGCTTAAGGTTTACCATATTATAGTTAAGATCGATAGATTATTCACAACTGGATTCAGTAGGCAATAGTGCAGTTGGGCAGAACAACGTCTATCGGTTCTGCTAGTGTCATTCCTCGCAACCCTCCAAAAAACTACAAAGCAACAAATTCCCGCTGATAAAATAAACTGACAACTTCGACCCAACGGATGCTGAAAGACTATTCCGCTCTACCCTGATAAAAGTCAGCCAGTGCTGACTGCCACACCAGAATCACCAGATTACTTTGGCCGAAATCTGTAAGGTGACATTCCTCGGATTTATACTCTGATTGTGTTATAGCCATACAGGGGCGTATTTACCGTAAGGCCAAAAATGCCATGTCTCGGGGGGCAAAAGCCAAAGAAAGGCATTCGTTACTGACCTATATTTTGATTTGATACACTAATTCTATTAGCACATCCGTTAGTAACTCGGGGCGCCAGATTTTAAAATACTCCCCATTCCATCATCATCATCATCAGCCTATTAATGTCCCCACTGCTGGGGCACAGGCTTCCCTATGGATGGAATAGGGAGATTGGGCCATGACCCACCACGCGGGCCCAGTGCGGGTTGGTGGGTGCTAACGACTGCAGATGCAGCCGGGACCAACGGCTTAACGTGCCTTCCGAAACACGGAGGAGCTCGAGATAGTAAATTATGGTCACCCATCCAATGACCGACCACTGCGAAAGTTGCTTAAATTCAACGATCGCTGCGGAACGCGCTAACCACTTGCGCCATCGAGCTCCTCCCCATTCCATAGAAGTATTAAAAATGGGCCTTTGGATGTCTGTTAGTACAGTACCTTCGTCGAGTCAACAACGAGATTTCAAACCCTGTCGTTGCAAATTAAACATGGAGCTAATTCGAATTAAGAACCACGAAGAGTACTGAATCCCTGTTAAAATGACACCAGAGAGACTTGTTTAACATGTTTAATATGCATAATAATCAGATAAGGATGATTTCATCCACTTATTACTGACGGAGATATTGGTGCACAAGTGCGTAGTATTTACCCACAGACTATACTTATTTACCTTCTGCACTAATATCTCCTTTGTCTTCGAAAGAAAACAATGGGTATTTTTTTTAAACATAATAAGGATTATCAAAAAACTGCATGGATATAAGATAAATATATGTAAACTCTTTTCCCCTTATAAATAAAACTTAGAATAAGCTTGGATTAGTTACTTCATGTTTTGTCTCTATTCATAGAATTAAAATTAGAAATAAAATGGCATTTCAGTGATATGAACAAAACACGATGTAACTAAGATTATTCCTCATTTATTAATAAGGGGGTTTGTGTGAAAATCGAGATAATACAAAAGTATTTTGTAAAGATATTAGTTGGATGTTTATAGGAACTTGAAAATACACTCACTGTTGAGCATTGCCTCGCTGGGCGCGGGCACGGTAGGCCTGTCATCCACCGGCGACTGTTTTTTCTTACTTTTCTTCTCATCGTCCTGCTGTAACACAAAACACTCACTATTATTCGACATAAATATATATTATTTAACTCAACACAAAACAGATTCGTTTGCCAGTATGCAATAAAACTATCTGGTATACTAATTTCTCGCTGTATTTATCAATGAACATAAAAATATTGTTCGATATATCAACTGCTTTATCAATTTGCTAACTTTATCAATCTTGTCATAGTTTTATCAGACCGTTGCCTGATCAATAAAGCGTAGATAAATACTGACAATTGAGTGTACAACGAATGTAACATAAGGTTGGGTTCTGTGAGTTAATTTAATTATAACATCGAAGCGAACAGTATTAATGAAATTATACAAGAACTCTTAGGTAATTGTAAAAGATGGCATTCAATAAAATCCATTTGGCGATGGAGGATTAATGCAAACTTTTTGGGCTTTTCTATCAAATCTGGGGTGTAGTAAAATTTGTATGATTTTATAAATTGATATCTCTTTTTTGTTTTGGTCTATCAAAGTTTTGAAATAAGTATTTATAAAGTATATTTTAAGCTCAATTTTGATTTCAGAAAACTGTTTAATGCTGCGTCTCCACAGAAAAGGAGTTGCGCGTGACTTGAGGCCAAAAGAATGGCATCGCCCAAAATACACATGCCATCTTCGCTCCGTTGCAGTGGATATTATATATACGCCCGTATTCGTTATTAAGAATTACATTTAAGTGTTACATTAAGAATTACGTTTAAATGTAAAGCGCGCGGGGTTTAGTTGACCATAGCGGAGCGAGAGAGCCAGCGGTGCGGCGCAAAGGTGACTTGGAGGAGTTGAGCTCAGTGTCGCTTTGCAAGGTAGAACGGGGAAGAGCAGTGTGGAGCGAAGCTTTCATTTTGTTTTACTTAATCGAAAAAATCCTTGCTACAAAACGACTTTATCATTGCTACTTGATGTGATCATCCAAAATCTGTATTTTCTCTTAGAAAAAATCTTTATGCAATCAATATTTCTTCTTCTGCTTAAAACTCTTCATCATGTACAAGATTAATGTAGCACCACATTGCGTCCTCACCGTCTGACAAATACCGTTTAAATAAATGAAACTAAAATGTATGCACAGCCTTGCGCATCAATCCACCAATCTTCGCTCAGCTCCAATTCGTTCATCTCCGCTTCACATACCTTCGCTCGACTCAAATTCAGCCACTACACTAGAATTTCAAATTAAAAACCACGCTCAGAGAAAGAGTGTAGAGCTTCAGAAAACACCGTCAAACAACATTTTTTGCCTTTCAAATTCACAGCGAAAAGTTATTTTTAATTTTTGTACTCTTAATCCTAGTCAGAATGGGGCTGACATATAAAATTAGTTTAATTAAGAGTCCTTTGAAATACAGGGACAAACAGCCCATATAGCTAATATCGTAGTAATTCCCCATTTATAAAGTAAGACTTATTAGGCACGCGTAAATAGGGAATTAATACGATATTAGTTAGGTACATAAGCTGATTTTTTCTCTCTTTATTTCAAATGACTTTTATTTACTCACTTATAAACGAGAAAAACCCGAGGTTAGAAATGTACTATATAAGTTGTGGCTTTGTAGTTTAAGCTTTTCGAAACCAATGGCATATTTTCGAGAACCAAGATTCCAGCAACAGTGTCTATTATTAAATATATGTAAAATATACATCAGAGTAGGTATGTTTGTTTATTTTAGGCTCGCAAAGCAAGGTAAACTCATGGGTAATTTCAAAATGAACTAATTTTTGTGTACGTTAAATTGAATTCATCCAGTCAATAAAAAAGTTACATTCATCTTAATAAATTTAAGAAGTCATTATTTTGCCAATAAAAAAAGGACAGTCAATGTTTTGATTCCATTTATATTTACTTTAAAGTTGGTGCCTAAGTACTGTGAAAAACATTTTTTTTTTAAATAATAAAAATGATAGGTAACCGTAATTTCATATGGCAATTATTATGAGATCACAAAAAAATCAAGCCGTGGTTTCACAACATACCTACTAACATGTTCTCGCTGTTTGTACTAGTACTTATAGGTAGGGAGGATATCTTAATTATTTCTTTTCAAAGTAAATATATAATTAAAATATAACTTTACCATCCAAAGTGTTGTTCGGTTATGTGATTAGTACGATTGTACATTCTTATTCTTTCTGAAATGTTCAGCATATTGTTCTCCAACTTTTTATTTCGTTTATTTTTCGTCAGTCACTAAGACTTCGGAAATGAGACATCTTAATGGCATGTTATAGAACGGTGGAAGTGTCTATGTGACGATTTGGAATACGCGTAGAAATAGCATGTGTCGCGCTTGGCATCGCGTCAAACTCACGCGCAACCAAAAACAAGAACAGCGAGGAAAAATATAATGCCCCGAACCCAAGGTAAATAAACCAAGCCATGATGTATGGCCATCGTAAAGACTCTGTACACAACCGCCTACGCCTTCAAAGACACCCTTAAATCAAACGCCTTGATTGTAACACAAACACACCGTGTTGCAAACAAACACCTGTTGGCAACATAAAACGACAGTTTTTGAAAACAATGATTAAGGGCGCGTTCTATGAACTGCTGATCCGATACACTCGTGATTATTGAAGAAAATATTCAATCCCACGCACCATCCCACTTTGAACGTATTAGTTTAAACTACACCTAATAAGTTTTGTCTTATTTTCTATGTTTTGTTAAGGAAAACTTCTGATGGGTTTATTGCTTACATCAGAAACCAGAAACATTCTGGAATCTGACTGATTTGAAAAATGGTTATTTTGCAATACTTTTCATTTCATTTTCAATTCCAGCAGAAAATCGGTTATATGCTCTACCTTAGATCTTTTTATAGTTACTTGTGTTGGCATGAAGATTTATTGGGATTGTGGCTTTCTTCTGTTTGTGTTTTTTTGTATAGAAAACCATTTGTTTGTCTCACAGTTCGGTTTTATGGGATATCTTTAGAATCTTTTAGATACTACATGTAATATCACTACACTCTCAAACGTGAAAAACTCTAAAACTTTTTGTTGCGACCAATTTTATCAGAGATTATTGTAAAAGTACCTCTTGCCCTTATAAAGCTTAACCCTGATGAACATACTCAAAAGTAGGACAGCCATGCAAAAAAGTAAAAACAAGTTGTATAAGTAAATCTGTGTAAAAAAAGGGGAAGGATTAGGAACTGACAGATAAACAGAATGGTCACTCGACCGCATAACAATTTGAATTAGGTACATATTTCACCAGCGAGAAAATTTGGTTAGCTTCAAAGAACAAAGTATTTTTTACCTTTTAGTTCACCTTTAGTGTAACCTCACACTAGCATAATAGCACTAGTTTGGCATGTTTCGTAGTAATTTCAATTTATAAAAGACATTTTTTTTTCATCCATCCCCTACAAACTTTCATTTCTTTTTTACATCCATAAAAGTCAGAAATTCCCAACATGCTTTCTTATTGATATTTTATTAGAACATTTTAGGAATCCACTGTCCATAGTTTCAGCATCGAGAGTTTCGAAAGTACGTTAAAAAACCACGCTCGGAAACGAAAAGCTTTCCTCCTAAGTACCTACAATAGATAAATTAATTTAATGTCACAGTTTCGGGATTTGATTATATGTATAAAATATCTACTAAGAATTATTACCTACGCATTGAATTATTACTTCTCTCAAACCATAATTGTGAAGGTTCCCTAAACATTCGTAGAATGTCAGGGCGAGTGTCGAAACGGCACAAAGGGCCTCAAGTCTTAAGGATTCCATGCATTTTCACAGAACTTTTAGGTGGAGTGCTGTGAATACGTGTGTGCGAAGCTTGATGACTCTCTCGCAGACACTTTTACATGTGTATTAGGTTAGGCGTCTCTTTCTAGGTTAAAATTTAAGCTTAATATGTATTAAATAATGTTAAAATTGTTGTTAATTTTTAAAAACTTTATTACTATACAACTTGGTTATTTTTGGACTTAAAAGTATGGTTTATACCTAGGCTAATATATCACAAAATTTAGTCGCTAGTTTGTAATAAATAAGAAATTAACAGGTTTCTGAAATAAAAAATACATATTATATATTATCCTGCAGGGCCACATTCCTAGGTCGGTTGTGGTTGTGAGGCTTAACAACAGAAATAAAAACTCTCTAAGGACTCACTCGAATTTACACATACAAGATTGAAATCAGTACAGTCGTACGAAAGGCGTTTAATTTCATACACACGCACAAGGGCACTATTTTTAAACCATAAATAAGCCGTCGAGCGATTTAAAAAAAGTCGTTCCAGATAAGACTGATTGTAAAACCAGAATGCAATAATAGAGTATATATGAACTTGTTATAAAATCTCTTTGTTTGTACCATTTGTACCGGGCTGATTTTGGTATTATATAAAGATAAAATTTTAAAGAAGATAATTCCAAATTTGAATAAGAAAAATGTGTGATTTTCATTTGTTTTTCTAACTATCAAGATGAGTGAATCTAATGAAGAAACTCGATACATTTTAAAATTTTGATACATAAAAGGTAAAAATGCAACGCGTCGCTAGGTCCATAAAAAAACAAATTTTTGTTTTTTTATGGACCTAGTGTAGTGTCCGTGGGAGTAGCACAACAAGTTTGTGTTTAAGCGTTTTCAATCCGGAAATTTTTGATTTCAAAGATGCACGACGCTCTGATCGTCCTTTCACGGATAAAATGGATGCTATTTTTGAAAAATTGGAGCAAGATCGGCATATCAGCAGTTATGGCGCTTTGGCGCATTTGAAAAAAGCTGGGTACACAAAAAAGCTCCATATATGGGTGCCTCACGAGCTCACTGAAAGAAACCTAATGAACCGTATACTCATTTCTTATTCTAAAGAATCTAAATAAATTAATAAAGTAATAAATTACGACGTTATGAAACAGAACCATTTTTAAAGAGGCTGATAACTGGTGATGAAAAGTGAATCACGTACGACAAGAACGTGCGAAAAAGGTCGTGGTCAAAGGCTGGTCA